CGAGTGGTGGGGCCCCTACACTAGATTATTGTGTCAAATTTGGGCCCAGTTAAAAGGACCATCATCTGACAAACACGGCCCATGAGGGCTGTCAATTGCTGTGAATCCCATTTCTAAAGCGCGTGGACCGCGTGGTCCCAAGCCACTTCGTGATTTTTCTCTTTCCCACTTTAGTGGGCCATAGCATGTCAAATCTATTGGCAAGACCCAATGTTATACCGGTAAAATCATATGTTAAACCCCTAAATTAATTTTAGATTGACTATAAAGTCTTCAGATTTTAATTAATGTATATAAACCCTTTGACCTTATGATATGAGTAATTTAGCTCTTAATTCTTTAACTACAATAAGAATAAAGGTTAAATTGCTTCAATTGCTTAAATTGTAGAGTTTAAGAGATTATATGTATTAATTACAGTTTAAAAGCTTAAAAGTAAATCTTAAGTTAGCTCAAGGACTTAATAATATGGTTTTGCCTATTAACCATACACAAATGTTGGGTTTTTTTTTTTATCATTTCCCAATTAAAAAGTAACAAACGCATACAAATCAAATTGAGAGGATTCTTTCGTAAAAGTGAGATCACCACTAATGACTAAACTACTAGAAAGGGAACCTGCCTACCTCTAACACAATAATTTATGTTTAAATTAATTTAATGAATTAAGGGAGCATTTTTTATAATAATAATAGTGATAATTCAATATAAGGATTGATAAGTGTCGGCCAAAGAAAAAGAGAGACCATGTAATATGGTCACGTGATGACAACACCATTTTCAGCGGAACGTGAATGATGGAGGGAAAAAGGGGATGAAAGTAGGAAAAAATGAGATAATAATAATTTCAGCGGGATTGCCTTCTTCTCTATAAGTCACGCTCATTCTGTGTCAAAAAGCGACTACATCCGTGTGTAGCTTTCAATTTACTTTTCTGTGTCTCTAATCTAAATTATAAGGGCCAAATAGATGCACAGAACAGAACAGAAGTAGATATTCCTGCGGTGCTGCTTGTTTTCTTTCTCTTTTTACTGCTTCACCTCTAACTACAAGTTTATTTTTTCTTTCCTCTTCTCTTGGGTAATTAGATGAATTAGTGTGGAGCGGCCTGTTCTGGGTCAGTAATATTGGACCCTGTGTTAGTACGTTTTCCTCCAAAGAGTTGCATGTTCGAGACCTATAAAATTTTTTTTCTTATTTTTTTAATTAATATATAAATAATTACAATTTGTTAAAAAAAAATTAGATGAATTACTGTGTTAGCACGATCGATGTCAGTACATGTTTCATTGTGGACAAGAAGATAGATAGAAACGAAAATACATGACAGACACAGCCTATCCAGCAAATCTGCCTTTTCCTCCACTTTTTCATCTTTTCTTTTTGGTGCTATATATTTTCCATCTCTACATATATTTTATCTATTAAATTAAATTTTTTTTTATCAGCTTTTAAATTAAATAAACTAGATCAAGATCTTGTTTTAATTTAATAGGAACACCATGAGATAGACCACCATAATTGTCCCTTTCTTTTCCAAGTGATGGAACATAGAATTTTATTATCATCTAGGTCATTGGTAGTCACCCAACAAACAAAGCAAAGTGGATTTCCAGTCAAATAATGTATGGGAAAGTACCAAGAAATTGTTTAACATGCACCCAAAGGCCCCATATTGCTTAAATTCTTCTGCTTTTTTATGACTAAATCTAGATTTGGCTTCGAGATGATCTGAAGCGTAGTGAGGGAGCATTTTCCTAAATGCCCACCACTATGAGGTTTTGAAAATGACTTTATTTCTCCATCAATGATTCTTAGAAAAGAAAGAGAAATATTTGAAGAAAATATTTTATTAATAAAAAAGTCATATATATAGATCTATACAATAAAATATTTATAAGTACAAAATTAATTATTTTAAATGTATAGAATCAATTACAATGAATAAATCTATACAGCAAAACTAGTTGGACAAAGTGATAAACCAAACTCACTTACAATAGCACTGAACTTTACATACTAGACTCAAGGGGATTGCTTCAAACTGTATAATGCATGTCTCAATTGACATACCTTGTTTGGAGAATGATTAAGTCGAGGAGGTGGTTTTATATAAACTTCTTCTATGTCACTATTAACAAAAACATTTTTCACATCCATCTAAAATAATTTCCATCTCCGCATAGCAACGATAGCAAGTAAATTGTGCACAAATGTGAAACAAGCAAATGGAGCAAAAGTTTCCTCATAGTCTACTCCATACTCATGTGTAAAACCCTTGGTAACCAAGCATGCCTTATAATGCTCCACATAACCATTAGATCATGTTTTGATCTTGTACATCTATTTACAACCTATTAGAAACTTTTCAATAAAAAGAACAACTAAATCCCATATACAAGTGTTCTTAAGAGCCTATAATTCATCTTGCATAACTTGCTGCCAAAAAGGGTTAGAAGAGGCCTTTTGGTAGGATTGAGGCTTATGTAAAGAAGTAATAGCTAGAAAATAATGATAATCATGAAGGTAGTAAGGAGGGTTTCTTACCTGAGTAGGATAACTCAAGGGTTGGATAACAAGCTTATTTACATACTCAATAATATCAAATGTAACATCAACAGGTGATATAGATGAGGAAGCAAAGGAGGGTTCAGACTTATCTGATGCATTACTAATAGGCAGATCATCTTCTACAGAACTAATTGGAGCATATGGTGAGGCATTGTATCTAGTTGTAGCATGCGGTGAGGCATTATAGAGTTTATCACATGTACCCTACATCAAAATCACTAAAAAATAGCTCAACAGAAGGATTAGTAAAAAATGGAGGTTGTTGAAAGGATGATACTTTCAAGTTTGACAATGATGAGAACATAGTATGTTCCCAAAAGACAATGTGACGTGAAACTCGAAATTTTTGTGACACAAGATCCCAACAAAAATATCCTTTTGGTGTACTACAATAACCCAAAAAACAACATAATCGAGCTCTAACTTGTTATGTTCATTAGGTGGAAGAAGAACAAAACATGCACAACCAAAAACCTTAAAAAGATCATAGGTAGGAAGAATACTATGCAAACACTTGTATGGAGAGTGGTTATTGAGGACTGATGATGGAATGTGATTAAAGAGATAAGTAGTTGTAAGAATAGATTCACCCTAAAATCGCCTTGGACAAAAAGATGAAATGAGCTAAGCATAACATAATCAAAGATATGTTTGTGTTTACATTTAGCCACCATTTTGTTAAAAGATGTAAGGACAAAATTGTTGTGTCAGTGTATCCTATTCTTTGAGAAGTATTGAAGTTTAGTACCAAAATATTCAGTAGCATTATCAGTTTTCAAAACTTTCATAAATTTAAAATTTTGGGTTTTGACCATAGTAGCAAAATCAATATAAAGTTGTGATAATTCAAAGCGATTTTTCATAAAATATATCCAAGTAAAATGAGTATGATCATCAATAAATAACACAAAGTACTTGGAACCCCCTATGATGGATGTAGGAGATAGACCCTAAACATCAACATGCACGAGATCAGAAAGAGTAGTAGAAAGAGAATAACTACTTGAAAATGATAAAGCTAGTTGTTTTGTAGATTTTCATGACACACAATGTAAGGATTTATTCGAAACAGATCCTAATAAACCACAAGAAATAAGATGACGAAATTTATCAACTGAGGTATGTCTAAGTCGTTAATGCCACAAATGGAGAAGAGAAATATTAGTAACAGCACAAGCTTGCAAAATTTGTTAATATGGAATTTATAAAGACTTTAACTCAACAGCACAAAGTAGAGTTTGGATGAAATGATCATTTGGAAATGATTGTGTTTCCATTTTATGATGTGGAATATGTAGATAATTGAGTTCAAACATACACCCTACCTTGTGACCAATTCCAAGAAATTGTGTTGTCTATGGGTCTTGCACATGACAACCATAAGCAGAAAATGTTACTTCAAGGCAAGATCACATAATTAACCAATAGATAGAAGATTATAACTAAGTTTTGAAACTAAGAGAACATTTGCTAAAGCCAATGAATTTGTAGAAATATTGCCAATGTGACTAACATTCATAGGGGAACCATCAGCAAAATAAATATTAAAAAAGGAATTATTTGGTGACATTGAAGAGAAATGAGCAATAGTTGAAGACATATGGTTACAACAATCAGAATTAAAATACGAAGGTTTGGTACTTGAATTAGCAGATAAGGAAGTAGAAGCACTAAAAATTTAACATCACCTATTTTAGGGATTCAAGATTGACATTAGGTCAATCTGTAGCTTCTTTGGCAATTATAATAGTTGTACAATAAGTTACAATCCTTTTAAAACTCACCAAAAAATTAATAAAACCACAATACTAAAAATAATCTAAAAATATAAAGAAATAAATGTCAAGATTGAAATAACAACTTAACAAAATATCTCAAAATGGCATGAGAATTGAGAATAAACAATCTAATTTACAAGAGAAAAGATCCCAACGACAGAGTTTAAAATCTAGAATGGATTTCAAAATCCAACTTAAAAACCAAACAATGAGGATCAAAAAAAAGAACCAAAAGCTTATAACTTTGATACCATATTAAAAAAGAAAGAAAGAAATATTTAAAGAAAGGTTTATTGTTTTTTTTTTTATCTTTATTGTATATATAAAAATCTTATATATAGATTTATACAATAAAATATTTTTAATATAAAATTAATTAATTTAAATGTATATAATCAACTATATTATGAATAGAATATTTTAATATAAATATTAATATTCTAAAATAAATGCTATGATTCTAACCATGATAATGATATGGGTTTGGTTGCTTCCATTCTAAAGTTCTTTTTCTTTGAAGAAAATCTATGTGAGGCCTTAACAACACGTACACATCATACAACAAAAAGCATTAAATGCATTAACATAATAAACATAAAAAGAAGAACCATATTAATTCCTTTGCTGAATCATTGTAACTACTCAAGTATTATCAGGGTTTATTGCTTTTAAAAAAGATTATAATCGCATAAGTATTCCCCTTTTGCTCCCTAGAAAGTTACCTTTTGCTCCCTATAAAGCGCCAAAGATTCCCAAACAGGGCATGTTAGCAGGCAAAAGAGAGATAAGAATGTGAAAGTGAAAGCCAGAATTGTGGGTGCTATTCCGAGAAAATAAGTTGATATTTGTTCAATCCACCCCATGAACCATTCACCCCCATAATGCAGATTTTCATCTACATAATATAAAGAATTTGGCATAATGAATTAAAAACAATGTACATAGAGTCAAAGAAAAGACTTTTTTTTTTTTAATTTTTTTATTTAAAAGGTTACTATTTCTAATAATTAATAATGGACAAAGGCATGTTGGACACCAAAGGCATGAGGGGTACAGCCTTCAAAAGCAAATTGGAAAAATATGGAATACAGTCTGTTTGCACTCCCTCTCTGCCCCTGCCTGTATATATACACTCACATTCTTTCTAACTTCTCAGAGTAAAAACCCCAGCTCTTTTTCTCGCACCATAACCATGAAAATCCTTCTCTTTTCTGTAGCCATCCTCTGTTTTTCCCTATCCCAGGGGCTGAACCAGAACCCCAAGTGTGAGATCCAAGACCAAGGCTCAACCCTCCAAGTGTTTCACATCTATAGTCCATGCTCGCCCTTTAGGCCTTCCAAGCCACTCTCATGGGAAGAGAGCGTTCTCCAGATGCAGACCAAGGACCAGGCCAGGCTCCAGTACCTGTCCAGCCTGGTGGCCAAGAAGTCTGTTGTACCAATTGCTTCAGGCAGGCAGATAATCCAGAGTCCTACTTACATTATCAAGGCCGAGATTGGAACCCCACCCCAGACAATGCTCACGGCCATGGATAACAGCAATGATGCTGCCTGGATCCCCTGCACTGGCTGCGTAGGCTGCTCCTCCACCGTCTTTGACATTGCCAGGTCCACCACTTTCAAGCCCCTCGGCTGCCAATCTCCTGAATGCAAGCAGGTGCCTAACCCCACTTGCGGTGGCGCCTCCTGCAGCTTCAACGTGACCTATGGCAGTTCCACCATTGCAGCAAACCTCTCACAGGATACCATTACCCTGGCCACCGACCCTGTACCTGGATACACCTTTGGATGCATACAAAAGGCCACAGGCAGTTCAGTGCCTCCGCAGGGCTTGATTGGTCTCGGCCGAGGGCCATTATCACTTTTGTCACAAACCCAAAGCCTGTACCAATCTACATTTTCGTATTGCTTGCCCAATTTTAGGTCTGTGAATTTTTCTGGGTCATTAAGACTTGGGCCAATTGGACAGCCTATGAGGATCAAGTTCACTCCTTTGCTCAAAAACCCTAGAAGACCGTCGCTATACTATGTCAATTTGGTCGGAATTAGGGTCGGAAGGAAAATCGTCGATATCCCACCTGCTGCTTTGGGTTTCGATGCCACCACCGGGGCAGGCACCATTATTGATTCCGGTAACGTCTTGAACTTATCGAAACTTGACATAGTCTGGCATGCATGGAGTCTGTTTTTGTTACTAAAATTTCGTTCTTGAATTCAGGCACCGTCTTCACCCGACTGGTCGCGCCGGCGTATACTGCGGTCCGCGACGAGTTCCGGAGGAGAATCAAGAACGCAAACGTGACCTCCCTAGGTGGGTTCGACACCTGCTACTCAGTACCCATCGTGGCACCGACGCTGACGTTCTTGTTCGCTGGAATGAATGTGACGCTGCCTCCGGACAACCTGCTAATCCACAGCACCGCGGGCAGCATAACGTGCCTGGCGATGGCCTCGGCACCGGAAAACGTGAACTCGGTGCTGAATGTGATCGCCAACATGCAACAGCAGAACCACAGAATCCTCTTTGATGTGCCCAACTCGAGGCTGGGCGTTGCCCGCGAGCTCTGCACCTAAAAGATGGATAGGAAGTAAAGGAAAAGCAGGGAAGTTAGAATGGAACGGCGTCGTTTCAAATGTTGTGTGGGTGACTTACTTGACTGTTGAACAGGTTGGGGTTAAGACCGTAGGATTTGTCGCGGGTCACGCGGGTGCCCTGTACCTTTTTTTGTGCCCTTTTCTTCATGGTAAATGATTGGGCTGTCCTTTGACTTGTGTCTTGGACTGTGACACGAGCCTCCAACATTTTATGTTTGTTGATCTTAATTAATTAATAAAATAATTTTTATGTATTTTTACAT